GAATATCGTATAATTCCTTAAAAATATCTAAAACCAGGATTTCCTTTACCTGTTGCTATAGGTGTTATATCTATATATGGCAGAGAAACGACAACTCGGCTCAAATTTTGACGGTGAGTTGTGAACACTATTAATGATTGTTAGAGCTAAAAATCCTGTTTCTGAGACAAAGGTTTGATTGATAAAAAAAAATGTCCCTTTAAGAGCAAACAATTCAAATTACGTCGAATCTCAACTGGAAAACAAATTCCAAGCATTTTTTTTTTTGTAAATTGAAGTTTGCTGATTAGTTCGGTACCTTTAAATTAATAGCCCGGATCAAGTTAATGTTGTTTATCAATGACATATAAACATTGATTTATATATTGATATGTTCGATCAAATATCATCCAACCGTGTTTACTAATTCATATCACACAAGCCTACAATTATATTGTGTATGAACATTACGTTTGTATTTTCAGAATGTATCGTAAATATTCCCTGGTCCGCTCAATACTTAATGTCGCTTTACCGTGGATCCATATTGGCCATATTATAGTTGGAGATCTGTTAAAAAAAATTATGGTTTTGCGGGCACTGGTATAAAATAAAGTCGAGAGAGTTCGTGCATCAAGAAGACTGTGTTGGCGCATTTCTCTTTAACCCTCTCCTAGGGTTTGATGGAGTGGCGGATGAGGCTACGTCATGTTCTCCTGACACACTTTTTCAGCAACTTTAGGCAGTTTCCGTAAAACTTCCATTGTAGACAAAATTACACTTTTACAGAAATTCATAAGGCAAATAATCAATATTTATTTATCAATTACTTAATCAATAGCGAGTGTGACTCCCATTAGCAGCAATGCAGGCGACAACACGTCGACGCATTGATGATGTTCGGATGACGTTAGGCGTTATTCTTTGCCATTCCTCTACGAGTAATTGTTCCAGCTGTTTGTTGAGCTGTGACAGGTTGCGCCGGTCGTTTTCGGATTTGCCGATCGAGGTAATCCCATAGGTGTTCAATCGGATTCATGTCGGGAGAACAAGCTGGCCACGGTAAAACAACGACGTTGGCGTTGTGAAGAAAGTCATTTGTCAATCTTGCTGTATGTGGCCTTGCATTATCGTGTTGAAAGACAATGCCACGGGGTTGTTGCCGGATAAATGGTAGAACTGGTCGCAAAATCTCGTTTCTGTTCCTTTGAGCATTAAGGTTGCCACGAATAGTCACAAGTGGTGTTTTCCTATCATCGCAGATCCCTCCCCACGCCATGACACCACCGCCTCTAAACGCTCTGACTTCCTGAACATAATTTGGTCTTAAACGCTCACCTATACGTCTGTAAACACGAAACCTACTCTCGTCCGTGAACATCACACGTTGCCAATCACGAATCTGCCATCGCCGAACTCTCCTGGCCCATATCAATCGACGACGTCGGTGTTGAAGTGTCATGTGCACTCCGCGGTAGGGGCGACGTGCTCGGATACCACGTTCCCTCAGTCGCCGATAAACTGTGTGTCGACTGATACGATGCCCCAATGCCGTCGATGCCGTTGCTGTTGCAGTAACGAAACGATTCCTCAGATGAATTGTCCTGATGTGGCGGTCCTCACCTGGCGTTGTGACGCGTGGTCGACCACTCCTAGGCCTGTCTGATGTACTGCCTGTCTGCCTCAAACGCTGCATCAATTTTGTTACAATTTTTCTGGAGCAGCCGAAGGTTCTTGCGATCAAGGTGATGTTTGCTCCATGTTGCGCCATTCCCACAGCTTTTTCTCTTTCAATCCGGCTCAAACGTGGCATACTTTTTGTGCTTTTCTTTATCCTCTGTTGCTAACTTGTCCAGTAAACTGATTTATACCCTCATCATGCACGTGCATTTCGTGCAACATCAGAATTTGTCGCTTTTTATTTTTAGCGTCGTTTGCGTAATTCGTTCACCTTTCATCATTTTTTCATGTGAAATTTTGTGTTGACCGTGTGTGAGATGTATTACAGTGGTTTAATCACTTTATTTTAATTTTTGTTAATCGTACTGTAAATTATATAGGTGGGTACTTTCTTTTGAGCATTAGTTTATATAGAAATATGTAGCAAAATTCCTAGTTTGGAGTTATTTGAGGGGATTAAGCGATTTTCGCTGGACCGATTCCCCATCCGTATGACCAATCGTACCTTAGTCTCAGAAACGGGGATTTTTTTTTAAGCTAAGGAAAAAGCTAATAAATTGATTTGAGGCTTCAAATTCATGCTTGTGAACTTAATACAAACCCAAGATCAGTAAGAATGTGTGTTCAAAATTATCTGCGTTTGAAAGTTAAAATGACGACTCGTCTTTTCTTGAGACAAAAGACATAGCAGTATTAAGTCCACAGTTTTTTGGCTAAAGGATATTATTGGTAGTCTGTTTCCATAATGTATCGTACAAAATTGGGATTACTCTAGTCTGTTTTGATGACGAAATTTTTAACCATTCTATATTTTTTATTGAAAAAGTTCACTGGGCATCTAGAAATAATGTGACTTTCGGACAAATAGATTGATGATATGTAATACAGCTAATTTGATAAATATATACCCGCTATAATTATATTTTCCTTTTAAGTCATATTTTTATTTTGTAAACAAATATATTATCGACTCGTCGTCTTTTATCGACAAATTTTGGTGACGCATTGATTTACTAATTTGATGAAATATTCAAAATCATTGTAAAATGAAACCAAAAACGAAAATATCAAAATTAATTTGTAAAATGTTGATTTTCCGTAGAATCATTCTTGAAATTGACGCATAAGCTATGACACTTTCAAATACCTTTTCTCAGCATCTGATCTTCAAATGCTTGCGTATACTATGATATGTCAGCGATGAGTATCTTCTCCTTCGTTTTTTGTTAAAGTGTTTTGCTTCTTAAAATATTGTGTTATTTTTCCACAGTCACTGCATTGTCATAAAAGTTTACCATTGGTTTAATGATTTGTAACACGTTATCAAAACAAATAATAAACGTGGAATAACATGGTACAACTTGGCCAGAGATTATATAATTCATGCAAATAATCAACTAGTTCCTCACTTCAGGTTACTTTATTAATATTTAACCACTAAGGTCTTCTGCCTTCTGGTCAGTCTTTGACTAAATTTTGTTTTCTGCCTTCGGCTTTTGGCCACTGCCAGTCTTTGTTTGGTTATGAATGAAATGATCTTTATGATGAAATGTCAAAGAAACATAAATATTGTATGATGATGGTCAACATTCTCTGCCTTCGTCAGTGTCTGACTCAGGCTCACTTGATTTGTTGATTTACTGAATAGCCTATGATCAGATCTAGAGCAAATCTTGTTGGTATTCATGTAGCCTACTACTGTACACTACTAGGCCTAATTGTTAAAAAACGAAAAAATTCAGTGAACTTCTTTAGATCTATGCTGTCCATTTTTAGGCCATCATTACAAAAAGTTAAAATCAGAAAGATGTACAAAAGTGAAGTTGGGTTACACTGTTGTGCTTGATCGTGAACTTAATGCAGAACACTTGGCAATTTTTTATTATCTCTAACATAAAAGAATATAATGAAATTTTTTTCGCTAAAATATTATTTTATTAATTAATTAAATTCAGTTTTTACTTTCCTTTTCTCCACTCAAAAAGATTTAGCTCATAACATTCAAATATGAAAATGTGGCCAGTATATACAAACATAACAACATGTTATTTGGTCAGGTCAACATAGAGTCTAAATTTAGCTGCATCATATGGATTTAAGCATAGACATAAGCACACATTATGTCTTCAAAATTTGTTTTCACAGAGGACAATTTTTAGCAAAAATTTGTGACTTTTTTGGGTTGAAATTTCTAGGAGAGAAATAGGGAGTGTAAATTTAGTTACACCATGTAGATTTGAGTTTATTGTATCCCACAAGCATTCTAAGTCTACATACATTTCTTTTGATTAAGAATACATGATAATTCATTATAAACACCAATAATTAAATAGTTAACTTATTCTCCTAGAAATTTCCAGGTAGCCTATGTTTGAAATACTAAATATTTAACATGCTATTTTTCAGATGAAATGGATTGTTAATTTATTGTTAATATAGAAGAAAGTTTTAAAATATATATCATGGTAAGTGTAAACCACTGTTATCAATAGACCTTACGTCATCTATTGGAAAGATGGTGACGTCATATAAAGGAATAGCCTATATAATGTTACTAAACACTTGATCAACAGTAAGAAAATGACGTTAAAACTGCCCTTTCTCAGAAATTTGTAAAGTTGAACTTCATCTGAAAGTAGTGATTTCACTGCAGTGTAACAATGCCACCTGTTTTTGTTTGCGTTATGTGCCTTGTTTTGGATCCAATATGGTTGACGCATGAATACCGACTTTACTATAATATTTCTTATCTATTATTGCTCACCGTTCAAAGGTATAATTATTGATGAAAAAAAATATGGCAATCGATGCTACCAATTTTATTATTGAAAGATGAAGGTGATTTAGGTATCTTCAGTCGCTTTGACTATTTTCAGAATACTGATTTTAGCAGCAAAACATAGATAATGTCCACCTTATAGCCTATTTCTTCCTTTTTCAGATTGCCAAATTATATCAGTGGTTGATAGCTGGAAGTATACTTCTATCAATATGGTTAGCTTTATTAGTAGACTATGTACAATCTGATATGATTAGTCAAAATAAATATACTATTTTTATGGTAAGTACTAGTACTGTTTAAAATAGATTAAAGGGACAGTTGTGCCATTTGTGGGGGGGGGGGGCGGGGGGGTTTGATTTGAGTCTTAAGCATATTTAAATAGTCTTCCAAACTACCAGAGATCGCACTATTTCTTTCAAAAATATTTCAAACTATTAATTTCGCTTCCTATTTCTATAGATGTCTTTTCTAGTGTCTCAACAAAAGATAACTCATCTTTCAATTTTCAAACACAGATAATTTTGGACACACATGGATTTAAAGACTCAAACTTTGACAGTGAGCTTTGAATACTATTACTTATTGGCTTAACAAGAAAATTCTGAAACTATGGTTTGATGGTAAGGTAAATAAATGGCATACCTGTCCCTTTAAAGGGGCATTTTCACTATTCATTCGGTCATTATAACTTGGTCTCAGATATGGAAATTGTTTCGCTAAGCTGATCAATAAAAGTGTTCCCAGTTTACCTTCCAAATTGAGCCTTTTTATACATGATTATCCATATTTATAAACGTTTGAAAGTTGCCTCTCTTTTAGAATTATGTTTGAGAACAGTTAAGTTTATATATGGGTTTTCTAATAGCTTCTAGTTTGAGGTATATTTGTTGGAAATATGTGCTTTTCATACAATTCTAGTACTTCAAAAGACTATTTAAATAAATACAATAGTTACCCTTTAAAGTAAGTTTTCTGATCTGTATATGCACTCCTATTTGCACCGCTCTCTTTCTGATTATTTGTTTTTTGTTCCTATGATTCCATAGAAACTTGACCATATGTATTGTTACTGAACAAATAGCATTGGCATTAACTACTCAAGTCTTTAAGAATTATAAGTTTCTGTTTTAATTTGTCACTAATTGTGCTTTCTAGAGTGTTTACAAGAAATTGTTTATGGACAAAGGGTTTGATATTGGCGGATGAAAAGAAAATATTATGACAATGATTGTTCTCTTTATTTTCAGATCCCTATTTACCTAGCTGTGGCTTTTGCTGTAAGTATCTTTTAATTGGTTTCAAGTTTAAACCATCAAGTTACAGGGTGGCAATGTTTAATAATTCTTGCATATTTTAGGTTTATTCTGTAGCAGTAGTAGGTTACATGGTGGCAATGTTTAATAAAACTGTTACATATTTTAAGTTTATTTTGTAGCAGTAGTAGGTTACTGGGTGGCAATGTTTAATAAAACTGTTACATATTTTAAGTTTATTTTGTAGCAGTAGTAGGTTACAGGGTGGCAATGTTTAATAATTCTTGCATATTTTAGGTTTATTCTGTAGCAGTAGTAGGTTACATGGTGGCAATGTTTAATAAAACTGTTACATATTTTAAGTTTAATTTGTAGCAGTAGTAGGTTACAGGGTGGCAATGTTTAATAATTCTGTTGTATATTTTAGATTTATTCTGTAGCAGTAGCAAGTTACAGGGTGGCATTGTTTAATAATTCTGTTGTATATTTTAGGTTTATTCTGTACCAGTAGTAGGTTACAGGGTGGCAATGTTTAATAATTGTTGCATATTTTAGGTTTATTCTGTAGAAGTACTAGATTACAGGGTGGCAATGTTTAATAAAACTGTTGTATATTTTAAGTTTATTTTGTAGCTGTAGTAGGTTACAGGGTGGCAATGTTTAATAAAACTGTTGTATATTTTAGGTTTATTTTGTAGCAGTAGTAGGTTACAGGGTGGTAATGTTTAATAATTCTATTGTATATTTTAGGTTTACTCTGTATCAGTAGTAGGTTACAGGGTGGCAACGTTTAATAATTATTGCATATTTTAGGTTTATTCTGCAGCGGTAGTTGGTCACAGGGTGGCAACGTTTAATAATTGTTGCATATTTTAGGTCTATTTTGTAGCATTAGTAGGTTATAGTGTGGCACTGTTTAATAATTCTTGCATATTTTAGGTTTATTCTGCAGCGGTAGTTGGTTACAGGGTGGCAACGTTTAATAATTGTGATGAAGCAGCTGTAGAGCTACAACAGGTAAGATTTCATTTATTTTCAAATATTCTTTGTTACTCTTTCACACCCACATGAAATTCAAGCTAGTAATTGTTGATGAAATGTTGATATTTTAATGACAAGTTTCATTATTCATTTATCCACATAGTGATTCAAAAATACAATCTAATATCAGGTTCTCCTACTTGACCTTCTCACATGAAGTTATTACCTTTATAATGAAATCATTGGTAATAACTGTCAAAAACAACTAAACAGTAATTTTGGAATCATACCATTTTTTTTTTCAGCAAATAAAAGAAGCTAGGGAAGATTTAAAAAAGAAAGGATTTGTTTTTACTGAAAGGTGACAACACAATATAAATAATGTTGATCATGTACATTCTATGTTGGGCTTATTAAATATTCTGTTATTTTATTTCCTAGTTTCTAGCCCATTATAATGTCTCCTGTCAGTTGTGTGCCAAGGCTCTGCAAGTTAAAAAATCCCTTGACATTTGGTAATTGAAAAAGAGAAGGCTATTGCTGCTGTCATGGCAAAATTTTGTTCATTGCACACTGCATGGCTTTGTTGTCTTCATTAGCCTAATTAGGTGCAGAAATGTAGGATGTAAAACTTTCATTCCTTTTCATTTTTTGCCCACAATAAAATGTGGTTGTATATTGTCGTTGCCCAGGTTTTTTGTCGGTTGGTCTGTTCGTCCACAATTGGCTTGTGAACACAATAGAGACTACAGTTTTCAATTGATTTTAATGAAACATGGTGTGATCATGTATATTGATGCGATAATTTGATGTATTTGGGTTATTGATATTGATTTTTACAAATTTGGTGGAATTTCTCAGCATGAATAACTGGCAGTAAATATATATCATTGAACTATTAAAATTTCTTTAATATGAGAAAATCTATTTATTCGCTCAAGACTGTTTTATCATTTCTGACAGCTGCCAATGGGTGTATGTTATTGTGTAATTGCAAAAGCAAGCTATCATATTTTAATGAAATTTGGTGTGATCATATTTATTGATGAGATCTTGGACAAGTTCGAGTATGAAGATCTTTCGATGAATGTTTTTTTTAGTTATTGCCCTTGACTTAGGAAAACATATCAAAATTTGTGAACACAATAGAGACTACAGTTTTTATCTGATTTTAATAAAATTTGGTATGATCATTTATAATGATGAGATCTTAGTCAAGTATGAATTTGACAATTTTTTAATTAACAGAATTTGAGTAAGTGCCCTCGACATACTGAGTGCAAAAAAATTTGTTGGCAATAGAGGTGACAGTTGATGTCAGAATTTTATTAAATAATGTGTGTTTGTTTAAATCAATAATATCTTGCACAAATTAGATTTTTGGTATGATTTGACACAGATAGGTGCCCTTGATATACTGAAAATGTATGAGGAAAGTGGGCGTATCTTGCTAGGCAACCACTTGTCTATTTGATTGTAATGTACAGGCACAGAAATATGTTACAGGTTGAGATCCTCTGTTGTGGCATTTCATGTCAATGGAATATTTATAACTATCCATATCACTTTTAAGAAATTAAACCTAAGGTTGGGTATTACAGCAATTCAATAACCTTATCTGCATAATATTGGTAATATCTGCATGAAAATGTTTTACATCATAGAAGTACCGTTTAAATTTTCTACGTCATGTTTGGTTCAAACTCAATGGCAGAAAATTATCAAATAAAAAAAAAATTGCCTGCATTTCAGATATATTTTATTAAGCTTTCAGTTTAATATCAAAATTTCTTAAAACTTTTTATAATGAAACTTGTAAATTTTCAACACAGTAAACAACATAGCCCAACAAATCTGATCTCAATCATTCCTTAAGACGTGAGTTACAGATGAGATATGGTCACTGTAAGGACCAGACTCAAAATGTCACAATTGATGGGAGTTGCTGTGATCAATTTTTTGATCGCTAGTTTTTGAAATTCTGCACCGTGACAACAGCCAACTCAAGGTGCCCAATATGTGATCCTTCTTTGTACAACTATGTAAATTATGTTGTTGTAGTACCATCTGAGGCACAGCTATGTTTATCACCTCCCAGCAACAGGTAAGGTCAGATTTGTCGGGTTTTAAATAACTCCTAAATTTCTTGTTGTATTTTAACATTTCTTAACAGTAACAAAATGATCACAGTCTTCATCTAAAATAAAAATACTTAAAATTTCATCAAGAGCTGAAATAGACCTTATTCAATCCTGAATGAGGCTTACAACGCAAACAAAGTTAACTGAAGTAAAATCACCACCTTGACATCTTTAAAACCTCCTTCTCTAACCCCACTTACTCAAAACTAATCATATTTTACATCATTAAAATCAGTATTGAATACGCTTTTTAATGATACTATCAGATGAAAGTTTACTGTTATACATTTTTGAGAAAGGGCAGTTTCTTGTTTAATAATGCCACATAGGCTATTCATTTATATGACCTGGCCATCATCGTATCACGAATACGGGTTTTGATATGGTCTTATTACCACAGCCCCGAGGAAGTATGATGAATGGGGGCGTGGTTTGGTCACCATGCTATTCAATTTGCGTTATGAACCTCGCTTTCCGTGTCTCAAAAACAAGGCGAGAATAAGGTCTATGTACACCCTTATTTTTATCCCAAAAACAGAACATGACTAGAAAGTATTCAAGCTTTTCTTCACATTTAATTGTAATGTTGCTAACAATTTTTCTCTGTAAAAGTAAATGCATTTTGTAATGCCATTGGCAATATTTCCTTCAAACTCTAAAGAGGGACAGGGGCTTCATTTTCTGACCAATTATACTTTAGTCTCAGAAACAGGATTTTTTTAAGCTAAGCCAATCAGTAAAAGTGTTCACAGCTCACGTCTAAATTTGTTCGTACAAATCCATGTGTGTCCAGAATTATCTGCATTTGAATGTTAAAATGACGACTCGACTTGTCAATTTAAGATACTCTTTGATATATAGAAAATACATATATAGAAATAGTGAGTAAATCATCATTTAGTAATTAACAGTAGGTGACAAGTAGTTATATGTTTATATTCTGAAAAATGTTTTTAAATCAAGAAAAGGGTAAAGGATTGATAGAATGTAACTATTAGCAAGAATGAAGTTATGTTCAGCCCAGAGTTCAATATAAGCTGTATCGCATCACTGTCAAAATGACCTCTTTTGTCATCTAATATTTCCACTGATTAACCAAAATTAAAATATATAACAGCGAATCAAATCAAACAGTATTTTTTCGAGATAACATTCTGCCAAATCTAGAAATATACCACAACTCTATACTCTATAACTAACATTTATCATAATTGAACCCTGGTTCTGACAGAAATGGCTGACAAGTTATCTTGTTATAGTGCAGAAGAGGCACTCTACTGAGAAATAAAAAAGTGTACATGATATTCATACTAAACAGAGAACACATAGTTTCTATCATGGTATTATTTACTTGTTTAAAAACTCTGCACAAATTTCATATGTCATCTGATAAAAACTAGTTGAAACATTATTAAAGAAGTGATGAATAACCTATAAGATGTATTATGCATTTATATACTCCTTAACATATGTATTGTGTCATTTCACAAACCTTAAACTAATATAAATCTTACATGATATATACTTTCATCAGATCACTTCCAGTTAAAACCCCAAGATATTTCCCAAAAAATGAACAAAAATTTAGCAATTTCCTAAATAAAGACACATAATAGCACCATGTCCATCTCTAAGATAACCATACCATCCTTCTCGAGCTAATCTTGACTCATATTTCTTATTAATCTTTTCATTGCCCTTTAAATAAACAGTAAACATATCTCTAGGGCCAGGTCCTAGGAAGGGTAGTACGCCTACCAACTCCCCATTATATCTATACTGGAATATATGTTCTTTATATCCTTCAGCTACTTTATGATGCTGTGTTACAGAAACTAGAAATCCCGCTGAAATTAACAATTATTAATATTAATTCTTTTATTTGGTCAGTCAAAGGGATACTGTAATCTAGGATTAATATTCACTTGTTGATAAAAACTTTAGCTATTCATATATGAATAGCTCATATTGTCAGGCAAGGTAATATACACCCATTGGCAGCTTTGATTTAAAAAATATTTAGCAGTACAGTAACAATCACCAGTATGAAATATTCAACCTTCAGTCATACACTTCTTTTGAACTCTTAAGGGCGATACTGAATAATATTGAGTATGAGTTATTGCCCTTGTTCTTGAAAAAGTGTTCAATTTTTAGCTTGTGAAAACTCAAATATTCAATCTTCAGCACGGTACTGAATTAAAAAAACCAAATTTTGTCAAAATCTGGCAAGAATCATGCCTTTTAGTGTTTAAAGAGCTAAATTTGAAAGCGTTTTAAGAACGAGGTCAATAACTCCTATGAAACATTTTTATTTATTTTTGATATGGTTCATCCATGGGGGATAATAAACAATTTTACTAACATTTTCAAGAACAAGGGCAATAACTCATACCAAATATTTTTCGATCCTTCTGATTTTCGAAAGGATTCATCCTTTTGTGATAACTAACACTCATACCAAGTTTCATCTAAATCCATTAAGAATTATACCTTCTAGAGTGTTTACAAACTAAAAAATTGAACACGGTTTCAAGAACAAGGGCAATAACTCATACTAAATATTTTTCAATTTTTTTCATTTTCAATAGGGTTCATCTTTGGTTGATAACAAACACTCACACCAAGTTTCATCAAAATCTGTCAAGAATTGCACCTTCTGGATTGTTTACGAGCATTTCAAGAACATGGGCTCATGCTAAATATTTTTTCGATTTTCAATAGGGTTCACCCTTTGGTGATTACAAAAAATCATACCAAGTTTTGTCAAAATATGTCAAGAATTGTGCCTTCTAGAGTGTTTACGTGTGGATGGACGGATGGCTGGACATTTCATGTGGGCGTATAAAAAGTACTTCTTTAGGTCTTCATGAATAATACTTGAGAAGACAAATTCTTGAAATTTTGTGGCTATAAAAATAAATGTTTTTATTATAAACACATTGTAAACCTTTATATTACCTTGTTGACTAATATGTTTAAATTCTGTTGGATGACCAGGTACTTCAATACTTAACACAATATTTATATTACTTTTACTGCAAAAACAAGGTCAATATTTCATATAATTACATTAATTCAAGCAGTATTGGTTTGCCTATAAACAGTACTATACTACTGTCTATTGTTGTCTACATAGCTTCTTTGATAATACTCCAGTTTATTGTGCTGATACTTTCATTGTTAATACTACTGTCTATTGTCTTTATACTTGCATTGTTAATACTACTGCCTATAGTCTTCATACCTTCATTGTTAATACTACTGTCTATTGTCTTTATACTTTCACTGTTAATACTACTGCCTATTGTCCTGATACTTTCACTGTTAATACTACTGCCTATTGTCCTGATACTTTCATTGTTAATACTACTGCCTATTGTCCTGATACTTTCATTGTTAACACTACTGTCTATTGTCTTTATACCTTCATTGTTAATACTACTGCCTATTGTGCTGATACTTTCAATGTTAATACTACTGTCCTGATACTTTCATTGTTAACACTACTGTCTATTGTCTTTATACTTTCATTGTTAATACTACTGCCCATTGTCCTGATACTTTCACTGTTAATACTACTGCCTATTGTCCTGATACTTTCATTGTTAATACTACTGTCTATTGTCCTGATATTTTCAATGTTAATACTACTGCCTATTGTCCTGATACTTTCATTGTTAATACCACTGCCTATTGTCCTGATACTTTCATTGTTAATACCACTGCCTATTGTCCTGATACTTTCATTGTTAATACTACTGTCTATTGTCCTGATATTTTCAATGTTAATACCACTGCCTATTGTCCTGATACTTTCTTTGTTGATACACCTGTCTATTGTCCTGATATTTTCAATGTTAATACTACTGCTTATTGTCCTGATACTTTCTTTGTTGATACTCCTGTCTGTTGTCCTGATACTTTCATTGTTAATACTACTGTCTATTGTCTTTATACCTTCATTGTTAATACTACTGTCTATTGTCTTCATACCTTCATTGTTAATACTACTGTCTATTGTTGTCTACATAGCTTCTTTGATAATACTCCTGCCTACTGTCCTGATACTTTCATTGTTAATACTACTGTCTATTGTCCTGATACTTTCATTGTTAATACTACTGCCTATTGTGCTGATACTTTCAATGTAAATACTACTGTCTATTGTCCTGATACTTTCATTGTTAATACTACTGTCTATTGTTGTCTACATAGCTTCTTTGATAATATTGCAGTTTAGTGCTGATACTTTCATTGTTAATACTTCTGTCTATTGTCTTCATACTTTCATTGTTAATACTACTGTCTATTGTCTGTATATTTTCATTGTTAATACTACTGTCTATAGTCTTCATACCTTCATTGTTAATACTACTGTCTATTGCCATCATACTTTCATTGTTAACACTACTGTCTATTGTCCCGATACTTTCATTGTTAATACTACTGTCTATTGTCTTCATACCTTCATTGTTAATACTTCTGCCTACTGTCCTGATACTTTCATTATTAATACTACTGTCTATTGTCCTGATACTTTCGTTGTTGATACTCCCGTTTATTGTCCTGATACTTTCAATGTTAATACTACTGTCTATTGTCCAGATACTTTCTTTGTTGATGCTAGTATCTATAGTTTTGATACTTTCGTTGTTAATACTACTGGCTATTGTCATCATACTTTCATTGCTAATAGTACTCTTTCAATGGTATTGTTTGTTTGGTACATTTTCAATGGGCATGAACTAGGACTTACTTATTTTAGTTCAGCCAAGTGAAATGCTTTAAAAGTTAGTGAAAGCCGATATTTATTTACCTGGATTCATCAATATGTAGAAGTAGAAAATGATAATCTATAGCCAATACTATCTCTGTGATACCGTTATCATTATCATTATCATATATAACATCAATTGCTTCATACTGATTACTGATTTCATTATCCCCATTTTTCACTGGTAGAGAACAGCTAAAATAACAAATATATAAATGGTAGAGTTATATAATTTAATTATACTGATTACTGATTTCATTATCCCATTTTTCACCAGTAGAGAATAGCCAAAATAACAAACAGATAATATCAATTTGATTATCATTATCATTGTTACATTGATAGCCTCATACTGATTTCATTATCCTGATCCTTCACATGAAGAGAAGAGCGAAAATAATGGTTCACTGTCATTTAGACACAAATATTTTAAGTACAAGTTTAGGCATGTGGTCAGTTAGGCACAACATTATCTTTGGCACAGTGCTTTAGGCAGTGATATAGGCACACATTCAATTATTCACATATTTATTTAGGCATACACTCTTTGGTCACTTATATTCACTGGAATGTCATTTAGGCACAGTGATTTAGACATAACTTCAATTAGGCACATTTTCATTTAGGCACAGTAATTTGGTAAGAGCATGACAAATAACTAATAAACAACCTCAAACAGACTTTCTCAATATACAGAAAATAAGTTAAAACAAACTTGTGCCTATATCACTTTGCCTTAATAAATGTGTGCTTAGTGTGCCTAAATGACCTGTGCCTAAAAAACGTGTGTACTGTAATGTGCCTATATCACTTTGCCTTAATAAATGTGTGCTTAGTGTGCCTAAATGACCTGTGCCTAAAAAACATGTGTACTGTACTGAGTCTAACTGACTTGTTTATAAAATTCTAGTATATTGTGTTCAATATTGTATATTATTGTATTCAATATTGTATATTATTGTATTCAATATTGTTCATTATTGTGTTCAATATTGTATATTATTGCATTCAATATTGTATATTATTGTAGTCAATATTGTATATTATTGTATTCAATATTGTATATTATTGTATTCAATATTGTATATTAATGCATTCAATATTGTATATTAATGCATTCAATATTGTATTCAATATCGTATATTGTATTCAATATTGTAATCAATATTGCATATTGTAATCAATATTGTAATCAATATTGTACTGTTAACATACTTATTACTTTTTTTTCACTCAGATCTCATTCAAAAATATTATTTTAATGTCAAGCAAAACTGATCATTACACATAAGAATATTAGATTTTGAATCATAATGTTGATTATTTTGTACTTACTTTGGAGCTGAAACTTGTATCGACTGTTTCTCAAATGTTACAGGATCAACAAATATCAATTTATCTTCTAACTTGATCAATAAAACATTGGCCACTATAAATGCATCCTGTAAATTATCAAATTGGTGTTCTTCTTTATCACTGCACCTTTCTTCATCTTCATCGTTAAAACTCTGAACAGTAATCCTAAAGATAGAACTTACATATTAGTCAAACTATACTCTAAACAGTAATCCTAGTGATAGAACTTACATATTAGTCAAACTATACTCTAAACAGTAATCCTAGTGATAGAACTTACATATTAGTCAAACTAAACTCTGGACAGTCTCATTTCTTCTGAAGTTTTATACATTTCGTTTCGCTTTACCATCCTTATCAGCACATGTGTAATATTTGCAAATTGTGAAATCACAAAAAGCAGTGATTAACCCAATCACAAAAAGCAGTGATTAACCCATAGTGGAAGTGGTAGAGAGATAACAATATTCGGAATGAAATGATTTAAGGACAAAGTTGCGAACTTTCTTTTAAATAAGGGTTAAATAAAATCAATTACACAAGATAAAAATGGACACTTACTTTTTGGTGAAAGGATTAACTCTATAAAATCTATTGTTGAATACTAATGGTAGACATTGTTTATCTTGAATATATGTTGCATCTTCTGTATAAACACTTTCACCTCCTTGTTTTACAGCCATGAAAGTACTGAAACAATCAAACAGAAAGACTGCGAGCCAAGGCAATATACGTCCTAAATTTACTTTAAATTATATCACAATTCACTTTCTTTTCTTCTAAGATTTTTCAGCTCCATTGTAATCTAACAAGTTTTCTACCATAGACACTTTCTGGCAATGATTCAAGCTATTCCTGCCAATCAAAATGATCTTTACATGCCATTCATCTTCTATTAGCTGCAAGGAGGCTATGATATTGTCTATTATGGGTTTGGCTATAAAACAATTTTCTACACTTAATAATTCCTATATAACACAATTTGATTGGTTTAGAATAACGTCATCATTAGAACAGGACTATGGTAGATAACTTGTTAGATAACAATGAAAAGAAATGAAATCATAATCTTAGTATAAATAGATATATCATCATTATGCAGACCCAATTCCAAAAAAGGTAATCTTTGTCACCTCAACAAGTCAACAAGCGTTTTGGGTATAAAATATTTTTTGGAAATGGGACTTGGAAATTGAACTCTAGACGTATAAGCAACGTTAGAGAACTAAAGGCACAGGACAAGTAAAAATGAAATGACGGGCAACACCATGCAGGGTGCCATGAGGGAAATTTTGCCAGGACAGCGGCATTAGCCAACTCTTTTTCAATTTCGTATTGTTGATTAACTAGTACAGCCTGTAGCGGCATAGGATTTATTGTCCCATCCGAATAACTGGACGCTTTTTCCATGTCCTGCATCACTGACAGGGGAAAACTGGGTTGAAAAATACGAAGGTATTATCTCGACCTATGCCAGGATTGAAACCTGGACCTTCAGATTAGTGAGCCAGCACATGGGACAAGTAGACAATTAGAATATTCTACAGTAACAGACTTCCAACATATATCTAATTAACTAGAGTTCATCTCATGCTGTCAACACATGTAAAGAATACACAATCTCCATTGTTTGATGAATTGAGCACTATTTTCCATAAGAATTTTACATAAGAATCTAGTGAAAGAGGCAATTTTATGAAAGATGACGAAGTTGACGATTGTATTCCACCAGAAATAGCGGTAGTCGACACTGCTGAAGATGGAAAATCGGTCAGCTCAGAAGAAGAAACACCTATGACAAGGACGTCTGGACGGACTCGAAGATTACCATCTCGATATGGAGATTACGTCATAAAGGTGGCAACTACTTCAGATGTCATGACATCATCATCTCTTTTTAGGTATCTGTGTTCCGATGAATTTAGTTTGTTACCATCAGATCGGAGGAAAATTGTTTGTGAAGCTTTAAAAGTTATTTGTGGTTTTTAGTTTGTAGGGAAGGGTGGTTTTTAGTTTAACTAGGGTGTTTTTATTATTGGTATTGTGTAAAATGACGGGACGACATTTTTTTCAAAGGAGGGGAGTATGTGACAGTGTGGTTTATTTGACTGTCCCTTTAAACAGTTGTTTTTCATACTTCACTGCACCAGCCAATCACCTGTAAATACCCCTTTGTTTTGTTCTATTTATATCTTGGGATTCACCTTTCTGTCTGTCTTCTGGGGTGAGATGTTTTCATCCTCACCCTAATTACTGTGTGTATTAGATACCACATTTTTCATCATTAACTTTGTAGAGTGGAGACTAGATTTGATTCCTTCACCAAATCTAGTCATTCAGTCAGCTATCTGTTTAAATCTACATTATTCAGTGAAAGCCTGTATAAAAGATATGTTACGTCACGTCGTTATAAGTTTATAAGATATAGTTTACAGATATACATTTAACCCCACTTCAGGTTTTTTAGTTATATAATAAATTTGGAACGAGAACCCAAGCCTTATTTTTGGTTGAAGGGGAGAACCCCTTGCACCCAGGGACCGGCTACAATATTGAGGGCTGATACATTAAAAATAGTTTAAACTTACCTAATAAATGCATTAGAGCGATAAACCTTACAAAACCACCATATTGTATCTGTACGAGGTACAACTTGATTGACAGTTGGTGGTAAATGATAGTGAACCAAGTGATCATCACCATGTCCTCTATATTTCAAATGTGTCACTGGTTTCAAAAAACTTTCCCTACTTGAACAATCTATAAACTAAAATATTACAAAGAATCAGCAAATGCTTGATGTCAATTTGGGGCCATGTTTCTTTGAAAACGATTTCCAGGCATCTGATTGAACATTCAAAGTAATCAAGTCCAAACCACGCCCTTACCCCTCATACTTTCTTGAGATCTAGGTAATACCAGTAGGAATCAGTACGTATTCAAAGCTAAATATTGTCCAATCGAAATGGCCCCGGCTGTCTTAGTAGAAAAATTTCAGCCAATCAAAACAAATCACTTGTTATGACGCTTTGTTTGGAAGGAAGCAGCTTGCCATCAAATATTTGGATTTTGGATTTTATCTTATGTGGAATGGAGCTAACTTTTGAGGG